TTTTTTCCTGGAACCCGTCGGCTATACCTTTGGTTTCGGTGGGGGGGGGGGGGATCTTTGCTTTTCAAATAAGTTTTCTTATTTTACTCTCCTTGATTCGATTTAGATTATCATATTCAGATATGGGGACATTTGAGAGTAAACTTGGATCAACAACCAAAACCGAAAACCCAGTTAAAAGGCAGAATAGAAATGTATGTAAGAGAACAGAAGTTCACAGACTGTCATGAAAGCACAGAATTACATGTTGGATAAGATAGCACGACGGAACACTTAAAAGCTTGAGACGATAAAGAGAAATTAATTTTTCTCTCTTTTTGAATGTAGTGATACCAGTTTTGAAGTGCTACAACATATATCAAGAGTGCTTCTGTTAACCATCATGATTGAACGAAAGTCAAGTCCTCTTCGAAGTTTGGAAATATCATAAGCTAGAAAATAAGTAGACTCACGGCATATTATAGGATGATCAAAGCAGTATAGATTTAAGCTTCGAAGTTTCCTGAAACCTATACCATCGTCTATGATGGCAACGTCTACGCCACCAGATCACCGATACTTCTTTGTCATGAGGGTGTTGAGCCGCAACATTTCCTAGGCTCCTGTATCTCCATCGAGCTTCCAGTATAGGTAAGTTCCTATACGACGGATTAATCTTAATTGGTTGCCAGAAATTGCGTGACTCACTATCTATCTACAGCAGTCAACCAGAGGGCGTAATCGTTGGCTGACTCACATTCGGAGTTAAGCCCCGGAACTCTGTGTTCTCTCGGATCCGAGCCCCGAGCCTCTACTATTAAGCTCAAGACTTCCAAACTCTCGAAAACGAACCCAAGTCCTATGCTCGACGTCTACAATCATGACTGAACAACCAATTGGTCCAATTACCCCCTCGGGCATCGCGTCCGCACCCTCTCGTGGGGCCCTTGACGGACGCTACACTTCTCTTATCCCATTGGAACCCTCTCACGCCGATCCAAGCTATAAGCACCTTGGTGGCGAGGAAAATGGCCATCTTTGGACATATATGTTTGGAGGACCATATCTTGATCAGCAACAATGGAGAGAAGCTGTTGAAGGATTCTGCAAGTCTGAGGATCCATTGTTCTATACTGTTCTATCTGGGCCACGCGATGACCCCAAGTCTGAACCAGTTGGGCAAATGTCTTATCTCAACATCGTTCCAAGCCATAGAAGGATTGAAATTGGGAGCATCATCTTTGGGTCTCAGCTGAAACAGACACGCGCTGCCACTGAAGCCTTTTATCTAATTATCAAGCACGCCTTTGAGGATCTTGGTTATCTAAGAGTCGAGTGGAAAGCGAATCATCTCAACAAACCTAGTCTCGCAGCTGCAGAGCGATTAGGCTTTGTTTTTGAGGGTATCTTCAGGTATTTCTCATACATCTCATTGCATGAGAGCCCCTACTAATATCTCTGTATAGAAAGCATATGATTCTCAAAGGGAGGCGTCGAGACACAGCTTGGCTGAGCATTACTGATGAGGAGTGGCCTCTTGTTAAGAAGGCGTTTGAGGCTTGGCTCAGCGAAGATAACTTTGATACAAAGGGAAAGCAGATCAAGTCTTTGAAGGATATCAGACAAGACTTAGCGAAGGACCAAAGTATGTCGGTGCTTGCTTGACCAATGAAGCCGTGCTGAAATTACTGAAGAGGAAGAACGCGGAATGTAATGACGACAGAACTATAATATGATCTAGTTATTACCTTTTGCCGGACTCAAGATTTGTATCCCTAAGGCTGATTTACATCATAGAGCCGACATGTGGGTACAGGACCGAGGCGTCATCTGAGAGACTGAGATTAATATAAATGTGATCTTATCTGTATAAATTCTCATGCATTTCACTCACCATTTTTTGTTCGCCGTCGAAGCCGATCAAACTTGACCATGTTTTCATTGCTTTCACAACCCTGCTTATGATTCTCGGCACATCGATACCGATGTGTGAAGATCAACTTGGAGATTGGCAAATAAATGTCGTTGAAGAGTGGTGGAAGCATCTACGTTAATCAAGCGCCTAGACCTAGTCGAGCTTGCCGTTCGCTCTGTTTTGCCTGTTTCGCGTAGCTCGAGCGCTGGAAGAATTGGCGTGCGCGAACCTTAAAGTGGAATAATTCCAAATACCAGTATCCTCGTGATTACTATTCACAAACGTTAGTCTCACTTTTGATTGCCACGTAAGTCTGAGCTTTGACACTGTTGATAGCGACACATGTGCTCGGACATGAGCGACATCACCAGTTCGTACGATTGAAACTTTTTCGTGCACTGCTCTTATTAAGTCCGATTAAGGGAAGCATTACCCGCAGTTGAGAGTCTGGACCCTTTGTGTGACGTTGGGCGAGTAATATGCGACTCTATTTCAGCCTTGCCGGAAAGGCGTTTGGCATTACAACCTATCATCATGTCACAACCCCGCAAAGATGAGAAAGCCATTCAGTTTAGCCTGGAATGCATTGCCTCAAGTTTGAGAAATGTGGCTTTGTAACTTCGTGTAGCCCGGGGCTGGCTGCATCCGGGTGCCACGACAGATTTGGGGTCTCAGATGTAGGTGATGATGGCGTTCTTGGTGATCCAAACTCGGACCGATATTCAATTCTCAGGGGCAGCTTTTACTTGGACGGTCTGCCACTCTTGGATACCTGTTTGAAGAGATAAGTTATCACTGAGATATCATCACAAAATCAATTGCCGAGGCTCTGGACAAAAACAAAAGAACACCAGGTGATCTAAGACAAACGGGCGGCATTATCCGTTTAGACTAGACCACAACCAGACAAGAGCCATTCCGCATTCATTTACAACAATTCCGGAATAACGCGACAAAGTTTTTCCTCTGCCCATCCTTGGATTCTTCGCGTCGCTCCCTGTCGATCTCCACACGTCAACTCCACACTAACATGGAGGACAACAGCTCGCATACTGTTCAATATCGCTCGGCCTGCGCTGAGTGTCATCGCAGGAAGCAAAAGGTACGTCATGGCCCTTCAGAGATGGCCTGCAGGCCTTCTGGAGAACCTCTCGACCGCCTCGCGGGCCGTATGAAGCCACTGTACTCACTGCCGACAGTGCAATCGAGAATGGCCTTGCAACCATTGCCAGAAGCGCAAAGTCGCAGATAAATGCCGCTTCGTTCAGCCGACTACTACGAGTTCACCGTCTGACGGGCTTACGCCAAATAGCGATAAGAAGCGCTCCCGCAGTCGTGAGGATGACGTTGAACCCGACGACTCCGAGCCTGATGAGGATGACGACGACGTTGGGCTGGGAGCGATGGGCTATGCCGCGGGCCCTCTCTTTGAGTCACTAACTATCGATGCAAAGGTAAGGGATTCTCTTCATACTGACAAAAAATGCCGTATCAGTTGAATTACATGCTAAAATTCATCGCAGAAGGATAAGAAGCCCCTGGGCGAACTGACTTGGGTTCATCCCAGTACCTGTTCCCAGCTCAAGCATGCCCTCGATGTCTTGCCTGGCCGTCCTCAAATGGGTAAATAATGACTCAAAGTAACCAGATTTCAAGAAATTGAGCTGACGACCCGCCAGACGCTCTTGTTCAGAGCTTTTTCAACAACATGAACTATCACTACTACATCATCTATCCGCCAACCTTTCTCCAGGAATATCAACAATGGTGGGAGCGAAGGAATCATAATCAATCGCTCTCACTTCAATGGACTATCCTGCTCGTCATGGTCTGCGCTTGTGCCACGCAGCATCTAGATGTTGAGATAAAGCCCATTGTCGAGGTTGAGCTTTCCGAGCCTGCAGAGAAGCTCACAGTAGAATACCACAAAGCCGCTACGGAACTCGGAAGGGTGATCCCGGTGGGTCACTGTCATCTGTTGAATATTCAGTGGATGCTTCACTCGATCTACTGGTACAAGTCGGAAGCGAAGTTTGTTGAGGCATGGCATGTTATTGGTGCTGCTGTACGAGAGGCACATGAATTAGGTGAGTACGTTCGACCTCCTACGATATCAGTGAACTAACTCTTGCACCAGGTCTTCATCGAACTGCCATTGCCGAAGGCTTATCAGAATTTGAACGTGAGATGCGTAGGAGAGTATGGTGTATCTTGGATTGCTGGGACTGGTAAGTGAAACCACCAAGGCCTAGGTGGATGGCATGCTGACTCTTTTCAGGCAATTTGCTTCTGGTTTAGGTCGCCCGACGATCATTGACCACAGTGATATCAACGTGGAGCCACCGAGTCTCACACTCGAAGACTTTTCTCCCTCACCACTTCTGCATATGAAACTTCAGTCGGAGCTGGTCACGTCACTCGCACAGCGATGGGGTGCTCCCAAGAACATCACTTCAGCAAGCGATATTCAAGAGTACAAGTCCATGCTTGAAGACTGGATCCGACGTTTCCCTGCAGTTTATGATGTCGACAACCCTGACACGTCGAAGGACTATAAGTTTCCATGGATTGTCTACCATCGGTTCTACATCCACACAATGGCATATCTTATGATTCTCAACCCTATGCGAGCGTTCATGGCCCAAGTTTACACGAAAAACTCACCTGCGGATCTACTAGCAGTCCGAGAAGATGCAGTCTTCTATTCCCTCAAGAATCTGGACACAACTACTCGGTGGGCTGATCATGCTTCTCATCGAGACGCAAGATTCCACTTCATCATTTTCTCACTCTTCGATACAGCCGCTGTTCTCTCCACTGCTGTTATCAAGGATCAGGACGACACAATCCCCAGGAAGGATGAGATCGTCGAATCAGTGGATACCGCAATCAAGTTGTTGAAGCGTCTCAAGGCTTTGTCGAAGACAGCCAAGACATCTCATGACATTCTTGTCAAGATGGTTCAGAAGATGCCCAGACGATCGCCACCGCCACGTGAGACTGTGAATCGTAAGAAACAACGAGTGGCTCCAGTTTCCCCAGCAGCACAAGCCACAAATACCAGTCATGATGTCGTTATCAAGCCTGAGGGTGGATATCAACCGGAGCATGTGTCACAGGAAAGCTCACCGAGCTATTACGCCAGCTCTGAAGGTGCACCTTCAGGATCGACGCCGCAGAGCACTCACTCTTCCTATGATAACCACGAGAACACTGGTTATGTCATGAACAACCAAGTCCCCGCCGAAGGGTATGCGAAACCTCAGGTTGCTTACAACATGGGTGTCGCGCCCGGGCACATGCCACCTCAGCATGTCCCATCACCAAGTGCCGGGATCGATGGCATTGTCCAAGGAGGCCTTTATGGCATGCCGCATGCTGACCATACCGGAGGTGGTATGGTTCCTCCAGCATACGTTGATTATCATCCCCAGGATCTCAATGTCGATTACGGTCTAGGCAACATCACCGAAGTCGACCTCGGAGACTTCTCGCAGCTCTGGGATTGGAGGAGTCTCAACTTGGATTTTATTCAGAGCTCAACATAGCACCTTCTCTTCTTTTCACTTCACATAGTTGGTGTACATAGATATGACTTTACGTTCATTGATGAGGTAATCTGACCGAATCTTGATTTTTCCTCTCCTTGTTGTAACTCGTTGTATTCGGTCTTTAATGGGTTGGTCAAAAATGCTCTGCTTATATTCTTTGGAGGGTTCAGTTTTATATCTCTGGCTTTTTGCTCAGTGCGGGATCTTGGATGTTCGGTGCGATTCCTTGAGGGATTACGTTGAAGGATAACCAAGACTGAGATGATATTGTAGTGTAGCTAAGACAGTCAAGGTTCAAAGGGAATCAACTTTACACTTTTGCCCTGGGCTCTCAGATTCTCGCCTGCCAACATCTTATCTGACCATAAAGAGGACCACGTGTAGTCTATGTTAATTATTAAACCAAGCTTCGCGAAAACCTGAAAGCCTAGCCAATCCAGAGATCAAAGGGGAGGAAATGAAACAACAACAAGAAGAAAATAATGAAGTGAAAATTAAGAATTTGTGTGGTCTCAGAACTGACCAGTCCGTATATCCCCGTCACCGAACGTATCAACTTCCATGAACGTTCTATCTGGGATAGCACCGTAGTACTGCACCCACTGATCCGTGTCGCGATTTTGGGCACCGATAGTAGCAATAGTTCCCCCGGGCTGGATGGTATAGTAGAAGAAGGTAATTGGGGTCTGTTGATCCTCTGAGATCACCATTTGAAAGTGGTTCGGCTCAGTTGCACCTGGTGTAGTGAAGACACACCAATCTATGGTCAGCACCCCTGGTTGATTGGGAGTCTGCTCAACCTGGTATGTAACCTCGGCCCCTGAACCTTCTGGAACGATCATGTCAATCCAGTAAGGGAAAATAGCCAGCGACTCAATGTTTTCATCTGGTAGGAAGGCCAGATCGGGGACCGAGTCGGCCCCGAAGGAGCCTCTGAGTGTAACAAGTCCATTGGGGCTGACATAGACCATTTCACTGGTTTCACCGTAGAGTGGTACCTGAAACGGGAGCACGAGCCATTCGACACCATTGTCAGATGGCCTCTCGCCATTGAACAGTGTCAGTGGATCAGACAAGCCTTCTGGACACGCACGTGTTCCTGTCGGTTCAGAGCTTGTAGTTGTTGAAGTTGTGGTATCGGCAGCTGTCGTGGTGAAAAGACTGGTATCAGCCGTTGAGAGGACCGTTGAGCTCGAGTCAAGAGATGAACTGGTATCCAATGGCAGATCGGATAGTGTGCTGGTATCAGTCTCTAAACTGTATGATGATGCAGACGTAGTTGAAGAACCATCAACAGAGCTTGCCGTGGATTCGGTACCAGAGCTAGTGACACTTGTAATCTGAGAATTTGTAGTAGTTGGTTCAGGGGTAGAAGGTAGCTCTTCTGACGTTTCCAAGACATCCGTGGACAGTGCATCCGTGGATAGGCTCTCCGGTTCTGAGGTCTCGGAGCTCAGCCGAGATGTAAGTGGGAAGTCTACAACACTGGTTGAAATGTCCAACACAGAAGATGTTTGAGTAAGACCAGGTTGCGTGACAGATATGATAGATGAAGAGCTGTTATAAAATCGCACAGAGCTCGTATACACAGGTTCAACCTGAGAAGTGAAAGCTGGAACATCTGTAGCGGAAGAACCCACCTGGATATCCTCTGTGGTCGTGGAAGCTACTGCGTTGGAGGGAGACGTCGTTCCGGACAACACAGATGTAAACTCTGATATCAGAGGTGTACTGGCAGTTCGAGAAGAAAAGCTCGAGGATACATCGCCATCTCGGCAATCGTCAACTAGAAGGAAGCGAGTCAGCCTAGCACCAGTGGCACGAAATGATGCCCATACCTTCAGTAATAGAAAGTCTTATCTTTTGGCAACCTAAGGGCAATGCAGTGAAAGTAATATAGACTTGACCGCTCTCGGTGTCCTGACAGAAGCCTGCCTCACCATTTGGTAGGGCTGAGTTGGAAAATCGGAGGAATCCATCCTCATCAGCAAAGGTCTCCGTGACAGCCCTTCGAGATAACGCTCCTGGGGAGCCACGTAGCTCCTTGAAACTCTCGCCGTTGTAGTATATGGGCAATGTACCATCCAACAGACGACCTTGCACCAGGTTGAAGACAGCGGCAGCGGCACAAATTTCTGACTGACTGCCAACAAAACCGCCGACTGCCCTGGCCTGTAGGGCTCGTTTGGTGTCCTGCGATTCTGGAACGACACGGAATATCACTGATCGGCCACTGGCTTCAGGGATTGGAATTCCAGTAGTTTGACTTGGGGCCGAAGTAGTAATAATTACATCATCAGGAACAGAGAGAGTTGAGGGGATAGCCAGATCTGTAGAAAATGTCAAAGGTGCTTCAGAGGTCTCTGGGAAAATGGTTTCTTCAGGAGAAGAAGTCGTTGGGCCAGTGTGACCCCCTGATACGGGGACCAAATAAGTTGATAGATATGTTATGCACCAAGTTTCAGGCTGTATTTGGTCATTTTGAAGAGCAATGGATGCACCAAAGAGACTTGCAAGTAAGAAAGGGAATAAACGAACTGGAGACATCATGAAGAACGAGTGAAAGCCTTGGTAAGACGGAGATCAGGGACTTGTCCAACACTATGAATTTCTACGACTCTTAACTACTCTGCACTCAAATTTTCAGCTTCAGCCTTGCAAACGCACGGCCAATGAAGCCTAAGACATCTGTTGGTTGCTGTCAATATTTCAAGATGTTAAAATTTGGTGGTGAGCGCCAAGTGGATAGTGTCTCATCTAGTTAATGAGGCGTTGGTCTAGAATATGGTTTCTAATATGATATGTCATCGCGTCCAAGTTGAGACATAAACCATCGTACTAAACGAGCTAAGTCACTAAGACTCCCTTGAGCTGCTCCCTTGCATACCAGAGACCAAACAACACAGACTTTTGGTGCCAACAGAATCACTGATTTCAATGTAAACAACCGTAACGGGCTTTGGCCTTTCAGTCAGCCACAGACAGTCAAGCTATCCACGGAACCGGAATTTAAAAGTAAACGAGCGCCAAATTGAACGCTAAGAACAAATAGTGCATGGCCCACGCGCTACCTGGGTCTTCTGGGGAGACACTATCATATTCTGGCATGAAACTATTCATGTCGCCGGTAAGCCACAGTCTTTGGGTAATTAGATGGACGTTGAGGTATGGAAGTAACATTTCTGCATTTTTAGTATGAGGCTTTAATAAGCGCCAAGTCCCCTTTATGCCATCCAACATAATCTTTCTCTGCTCTTTCGCTCAGGCTGTGTGATCTCCAGCTGTAGTCATTCGTTTGGTGCATTTTTGCTCTTCACACTCGTTAATCATGTATTCCAAGTCAATCGTTATTCCAGCGCTCTTCGCTACTTTCGGAGTCGCTCAAGATGATGTCCAGTACGAGACCCGCACAGCAACGATAACTCAATGCTTCACACGCGATGGCCTACATCCTCCGGCTACCGCCACCGTGCCTGGCCCGACATGCGTGGTTCACAAGCCAGCTGTGACAGGAGAAGTCATCGTCGTTGAGGTTCAAGCTCCCGACTGCCACTGTGGCTGCCCAACTTGTGTCCACACTCTTGAGTATACGACCAAGTACCCTGCTTTCTGCTCTACTGGTATGTTTGAGCAGGAGTATGTCATCACGGAGACGTACAGTGGCATGGAGGCAAAGCCTACCAAGAACGAGCACGATCTTCCCCATGGATTCACGTGTGAGGTTCAGACGTGTACTACTTGTGGCCCTGAGCCCGTTACCGCAACTATCACGCACCCTGTTGAGGGTCATTACATGAACGAAGTTGCACCAACTGGGATGCCCATGGCAAAGCCCGGCGAGGAGCAGCCTGGCAAGGAGCAGCCAAGCTATGAGCAGCCCAAGAAGCAGCCTGAGGAGCAAGGAAACTCTGCACCCAAGGTCACTGGAGACGGCAATGGTTTCCGATCAAGCGTCAAGCCCACCCCAGTCCCTTATTCTTCAGAGAGTGCTGCTCCTGGTAAGTTCACTATTGGTCTCCTGATAGGTATGAAAGCTAACGCTTGTACAGGAGAGTCCACAGATCACCCTGTTATCGTATCCGGCGCCATGAGCCAGCATTTGGGCCTGGCTGGTGCTGGTATTGCATTCTTTGCTCTTATTCAATTCTTGTTCCTCTGAGCTTTCTCTTGAAAGTTCATTGATGGCATTTAATCTGATGGCATTTACTATTGAGCCAAGATATCTTTGGTAAATAGAACAATTTCACTATTTTGGGTCTTCAAACTCAATTGCATTTCTAGTCCATATCGGAGTCTCTGAGTGACGCAAAGTGTACCTTGGCCTACTAAAGAGAGTAAAGATTGTCAAGGCCCAGATTATAGGCATCGACGTAATGTTAATGCTACGGGCGGTAACCGCGGCTATACCGGGCACGATGCTCCATTTGAAGGTGGGACATCTCCATAATAAAAGGACTCTATCACAGAGAAAAGTTACTCATGTGCGATCAAGATGGCCAAGGAAATATGCAAGTGTTGGCGCATACAATGATAATCGATGGTGAGATTAATCCTTGCAGTGCAGAAACGTTATGTCGTATTGCCTTGACCTGTCACAGACTCAAACAGACCAATGAGATGGACTTTTCTCGGGGAGTTGAGCCTCAGCTCTCACCAATCCCTGTCCGCGGCCCTGGATCGAGGCCAAGGAGCAAAAGTTCCGGTGAGTTGCATCTCGATAGACAATGGATCAAGACCATAAACATCGATGTGATATCATTATTCTACCATCGATTCTGAACGTCCAGCTTAAATTGATCGCTGTTCCAAGCAACAGTTGACCTCTATTCCCCTTTTTCAGTGGTCGCACGTGATAACGCATAGTGAAATTCCCAGTGGCCCAGGTGACCTCTCGTCCCCACCCAAAAACTCACCGCCCGGCCGAGTCCCGACTGGGCGAGCTAGTACTAAGGTTTGGTTTAGAATTGGTTCCCATCGTTTTTGATCCAGGCAGGTCTTGTCAAGACTGTACCAACACACGACTTTGTTGTTGGAGCATTTGCTTCGGCTTCAGCCTCAGCCTCCCACCGAAAAGTCACGAGGGGGCTTTTTTTTATTCTCCCTTCCTTTCTTCCCCTCCTATCCTAGAACAATGTCCGACGAAGACGTCGATGTCCTCGGCCCAGACGGCCAGCCCCCAGCTCGAGTCGACCGCGATCGAAGAGCTCCACGCTTCAGCTGGACTCCCGCATACGAAGCGACCTTCTTCCGAAGCCTGTGCGAGAGTGTCCAGCTTGGTCTCCGCGAAAACTCCTCCTTCAAAGCAGAGGCCTGGGAGCGCGCTGCTCTGGCTCTGCAGGAGAGTCATGGTGCCTACCCGGCCAAGAGCCACCTGATCAACAAGAGCGACAACGCGAGAAAACGGTTTCGGCTATGGAGAGGTCTTCGTGAGGACCCCGAGTTTGTCTACAACCCGGTTAAGAGAACGGTCACTGCTAGTGAGGAGGCGTGGATTGCCCATATCGAGGTAAACATTCCTTGTACTATGACGATGCAATGATCGGGAATTGCCATCACGCGAACGACGAGGCCCGGCTGCTATAGCCTCGCGCACACGAAACGACTGTGTCAAGCACATACTGACGCTCAAATAGAGGGAACCGCTTTCTAGGGCGTTGCGCGGTCGACCATTTGATCATGAAGACTTTATGGAAGTCCTTTATCCAGACGTCATCGGCTCAGGTGGCGCTCCCAAACGTATAATGAAACCACGGAGACGAACAGATGGCCCTATGACCGATGATCCCGATATGCCGGGCACCGGTATACTCAATCTGACTAGCGATCCTCCTCCGCCTCGACCTCCGGGCCTCGAGAGCCCGAACTCTCGGCCTATGTTGACTCAGACTCCCACTACATCCTCCACTGGGTCCGCGACCCAGCCGCGACCGACGTCTACTACAATTCCCCCACGCGGACCACCGACTGTAGCAAATGCTAATGCTCTTACCCCTCCCGACGAGACTATCACACAGAGCCGCAAGCGACAGCTGCCCACTACAAGCACCTCAAACATGCTCGAATCAACGCCACCTGCTACTACTATTCCTATGGGTCAGTCAGCCCCCGAATCTCCTGGAAAGCGTCGCCGTACTTCGTCCAACGATGGTTCTCGTGCTCTATCAGCGTCTGTTCTCAACTCCTCCATGTTGCCACTGGCTGTTCGTGATGGCCCGGGTGCTGGGTCCCCGACCCAGGCTGATAGCCAGAACACCAACGGGACCAACGGGCCTGTGATGGAGGAGATTGTCGAAGCTGTACGGTCTCGAAATACGCTACGTTGGCAAGAGGAAGCGCTGGACATATTCTTCCGTGACTTTGCAGACGAGGATCTTGATGTGCAGGTCAAAATCTCTGAGGGCGTGCTCATCAATGAGTGCAAAGCGATGGTGTTTTGTAAGATGCCCAGCCGCGTGCGACAGCACTGGGTAAAGCGCCTTGGTCGAAAGCTTTAAGGAAGCTCCTATCCGGCAGTAGTATGTCGGCCCTTGCAACTTCTTTCTCAGGTGTCTATAGACCGATACCCATGAAAGCATTAAGGACGGGGGTGATGAATCATGAACCTCGAGGCTCCAACACCAAACATCACAATCTAAGGAAACAAAAGACACATATCCACAGCAATCAGGGCAGGAGTGATAAAAAAAAGAAATCCAAGAGAGTATGGTCTGGCGCTTATTTGGTCGTGTTGAAGATACCAAGGGTTACGGATATGAAAGCGACACGGCGTTCTATTTGGGCAAAAACAACATCTATTTGTTTTCTTGCTTTTTGTTTCTGCTTTTTTCCATGTTTGAGGAGTTGCATATAGCGGGACATTTACCTAGTAACGGGTGATAGTTATGTGAAAGGATGGGATTGTTAAGGGGTTATGGAGCTGATGGTGGGTTGATGAAGCGTGCTTTGTCATGTCCTTTTTTGTTGATACCTAATATATATAATTCTCACCTCTCGCTACTCTTATGTCCATGATGGAAGACGAGTCCAGACTATTTGGGGCTTCATGAACATCATGGCGTGATTTTGTAAGAACCATGAAGGTAAGAGGGGATTCACCTATCGACACTCTTCCATCGCCTGCTGCATGAATTAATATACGTAGGCAACTATTTTGAAGTATACATAGCTACCTTGAGGCTGTTTCTTGCTTGAACCCAGACATATGCTTTCGAACCGCAACACATGATATCAAACAATGCCATCTACCTCTCGATCAATATTCGCAACAAATTTCGCTAATCCCATTGATATCATTACTTTCTATCTATCCATTATTTTGTCCCGTAGTAGTTAGTTCTTTTCGATCCCAAACATCTTATTTTTCTTCTTATATATCATGATACTCAGCCCAAATTCGACTCCTCCTCCAAGACCCCCTTGGCTCTCAGAATGGGTCCCAGCTCCTTCAACCTCACAGGCTTTGTCAAGAACAAATCCAATCCGCTGACAGTAGCCTCCCTCTGCGCCTCCTCAGAAGCCAACCCTGTCAAAGCAAGGATCAGAGCAGGCCTCAACCCCTGTTGTGACTCAAAAGCACGAATCCTCCTCGTTGCTTCAAAACCATCCATGACCGGCATCGAAATATCCATCAAGATACAGCTATACCGACCAGGGTCTGCTTCATATGCTGTGACGGCTTCTAAACCGTCTGAAGCTGTTTGATATGGCTGTTTGAGCTTCTTCATGTAAGAGGAGAGGATCTTGAGGTTGATGAAGTTATCGTCAACGAGGAGGAACTCGGATACTTTGAAGTAGCCTTTTTGTTGCGTTGGGGTTTCGTCTTCGCTTGCGGGGAAGGGTGAGCTTGGGTTTGTTAGTGAAGGGGCTGTGCTGGTGACGATGCTCAACGATTCGGGCTCTGTTGAGGCTGTGGTTGGAGATTGGGTAGATGTTTGCATGACTGTCCAGCGATACAAGGCTAGTGAACACGCTTTGGCAAGCTTTCGAGGGCCGAGTCTTGAGTTGTGGTTAGCCTAGAGCACGGCGTATGGAGAGAATTATAAAGGATTACTTACGGTTGTGAAATGAACTCAAAGACTCCGGGTCGTGGTATTGTCTTTGCACCAGTCGCATACTGATGTGCAGTAACAGCATTGGCACAGAGCACAATGTTTGGAATATCCGGGACTGAATCCTTGGAGACATTTGGTCTTTCAAACCCCTCCTCCGACCAAATTGCGAGATCTGGCATGAAGCAAGGTGTCTCTGAGGTGGTATTGACCTGCATGTTTAACCAGTCTTTGCACATATCTTGCACAAGTTGGTCAGGAGATTCGATCGTTCTTTGTGCGGAACCGCCTCCCGTAACTGAGTCTTTGCTGAAATCGACCAATTTGACCCGAAGACCTCGAAGCTTTTCTGTCTGCGCATCAAACTCTTCTTCTCGTTGTCGAATTTCACAGACGTTGTGATGACAGTCGTCGCCAAGCTTCATCGGTAATCTGACTGTTACTGTAGTACCGACGCCAAGTCTGCTGTCGACAGAGATGTGACCTCCGAACTGTGCAGTTATCTGCTTCACGAAGCTAAGGCCGAGACCTGTGCCAGGAGATAAGTGATTCTCTTGCGAGAATGGTTTGAACAAGCCGTTTTGCAGAAAGTCCTCGCTAATGCCCACGCCAGTATCGGAGACCTTAATAGTTACCCAGCAGTCATTGTCATCAGCACCAAAAGCACTGGTCTGCTCTAAAGAGACCCTGATGATTCCACATTGCGTGTACTTGAGCGAGTTGCCGAACAGATTCATGATAATTCGACGCACGGGACCTGGCTGGGTGTAGAAGCCCCACGATGGTCGTGAGTCGATAACCAGGAAAACGTCGACGTCTCCAATCTTCGTTGAAAGATTTCCTTTCTTTTTCGATGGAGCTTGAAGCTCCTCCATAGCTTGCATGGTGTCCATTCGGCGGATAGAGGTGTGACCAGGTCGTCGAGGGGTTTGGCTGGATGATTGGGCAAGGGTGACCTGTTGAAAGTTGAATCCAGCGTAGATACTCTCGAGAACCTCTTCGGCCAGAACATCTAGCTGTACAACCTTTCTTGATGGCTTTGAAGCTATGCTGACGGACGAGGACCTGTTGATGCCACTGCCATCTGCTTGAGTCTCTCGAGTCGCTTCTTGAGGCAAAGCCTTGTTGACCTTGGAATATTCGAGCAGATGATCGATCGTATCTGAGAGTGTTCGACAGCATGTTTCGATGGTGCGAACAATATTTTGTTGTGGAATAGTAAGGTCTGTATCGTTAAGCAATTCAACACTCAAAACAGCACCATGAAGCGGCGATCTCAACTCATGAGATAGTGAGCCTAGGACATCAGTCTTGGCCTTGTCCGCAGCTAGAGTCTCCAACTTGAAAGCCTCAGCAGCTGCGAGCATACCCAGAGCTCTGAGGTAGCTCAAGTCGAGGTCGATCGTGAAGGTACGTTTGATGTTGTAAGTGTGAATAAAGCCACCAGCAGACCATCGTTTCTTCCTGAGATCCCAGACAGGAACAAATGCAATGCTTCGAGCACCAGGGAAGGTCTCGAGGAGAATGCTTGCTTCTCTCTGCTGAACTCGGAATCTATGGTCCTGTCTGTTATGTAGGTTTCCCCATTCATTGTTGTTTGGCAGATGACGGGTCGAATCATCAGGTAGTTCTTCTTGGAGTAGATTTCCGTCAGCATCGTAATTGAACACATGGCCCCTAGGGTATTGTCGAATCATCCTGGCGAGAAGGGCTTGTGGGAGAGCAATATGAGCTGCCCCGTGTTCGGAAGAGCCGAGTGCCTGGCAAGAGGGCCGTAGACGGTCATCAGAAGAGGATACAGTTGTGTAGGCATCTTCACTTTCATTGTAGCTGAATGTTGAAGGTCGCCGAGTCGCCAGGTCCTCATCTATCCATTCAGTGGAAGAGCCTGCACTTGAAAACTCAAGCATGTCTGCATTGAGGAACAAACAGCCATCAGTCTCAATAGAATCCTTGACAATTGATGCTGCTTTTGAGAAGATTTGCTTCGGTGTTTCGAGTAGCTGACTTGGGTCATGGGCAAACTTCGAGCTGGCCTGAGGATCGCACATGATAACCTCTTTAGTATGAGGAGCGTTAGTTGAGCGGGAGTCCGCTGTGACAGTTGAGTTTCTGACACTCATTCCTCCCAAAGCTTGCTGCAAGTCGTCGATTCTTGGCCTTTGCGATCTGGCCAGCCCGTCACCTCTCGTCTCATGTTGTGCATACTCTCGTCCGGTAGATGAGACTTGACTCAAAGGTGCTGTGTTCCCTTCAACAAAGCTAGTCAAACCCCAACTCTTCCTTTCGCTCCTTCGTTGGTGGCTTTTCAGGCTGATGGTCTCAAGATGCTCGGTCACGGCTCGTGATAGCTCCCTCATAAGTCTTGAATGACTGTCGTCCCATGGCAGTGAAGGTTGGGTATGGATTACGCAAATAACTCCGATGTTGACACCTCGATCCGTACGAATTGGCACGGCGGCGTAGAATCTTGCGGCGCCTCCGGGTCGACAGTACGGCTTGCATGAGTACTCGGGATTGAGCGTAACATCGTCAACTACAATGACAGGCAAGTCGTGGTTGGCCATTGGCCCAGATGAGTCTACTTCGATTTCATCAGAACATAATGTGCTTTCACAAGCACTATGTGATCGCGGGATTGCAGTTCCGCAATGCCAAAGAGTTTCCGGTTGAGCATCCCGTCCCAAGCTTGGAATCAATGGGGTTATCGATGAAGCTTCCGCGATGATATACTGATGAGTCTGATCGAACAATGAGATCATTGAGCGCGCCGCGCCAGTCTGAGAAGCGGCTAGACGAGCCAGAGCCGTCAATATGACATCGGGACACGTTGAGAGCTCATTACTCGGCACAGGTAATCCAGTGTCGTTGAAGCGAACATTGGTGAAAAGCGAGTCGTCATATCTAATCGGATCTCAGTAACATAACTCAACGGTTTTTGGTGTGAAATTGCCTCGTTACCTGAACGTCTCACGTTCCCGAGTAGCTTCAGAAACGATACTTTTCTTAGGTACCTTTAGATAGGCTGGACTGGCCATTCTCAGGGCTGCACATGCGAAGGAGTCTTCAAAGTTTCCCACCAACGGTCATTCTCACCATTGGCAAAAGACAGAAGAAGAGCATTGAAGGTTGGGTTCAGGGCTTTCCGCTAGGGGCGAAACGCCGAAGACCGGGAGGCTGGAGGTAGAGTTTAGTTAGGGTGAGTCTAGACTCGGCGATTATGCTAGAATCGCCACAGAGCGGCGATCGACAAATCTGCGGTTGAGATGGAGACGCGAGTCTCAGTCCAAGTGGAGAATCATGTCATAATTGGCACTAGAGGCACTCTTTTCCTCCCTTTAGTTTGATGTCTTCAGCTTTGGATTGGTGGCTGTCCCTCCGTTTAGAAAGCCACGATACGGGCTATTGATCGAAACAGGTTTACCCGTCTGTGCTGCCGTTTCCCGATTCTGCCGATCATCGAGATGGCCACCGTTTCTAGAATCTTTCCATAAAACAGCAAATAATTACTGTTATCCATCAACTGTCAATAAACGCTACCATCTCAACTAGCTTGCGCAATTAACTGAAGGGTTCCATATTGACAGATACCGTCTTGAAAAGAACCTGAGATCAGACCCCTGTCAGTGTCCAGTAGGTACATACCTGGCTGTGGCTTACATAATACATCCAGATTGCAACGCTATTTGGCTTTGTATGTACGAAATACGAAAATATGTTTGCATGACTGCGTAAAAAGAGCATAGACATCCTATCACCATGTAATCAGCTCTCTCACGGGCTTCTATCAACTTGCGTTTACTCACAAGCTCGACGAGATCGAATACGCTCCGTCATTTGTACGTGTGTCACGTGAAGCTACTAGCTTCCCGATGTTTTAGATTGAACCTCGGTTTAGCTTCCGTATCATTGATGAACGGCATCTCTCCGATGGCTGGAGGAAACCTATTCTACCCTTGTATATCGCAGAATTGCAACCTCAAATTTCTCGTTCAAACCTGACTTCTGCTGAGACATCAATGGCTCTTCAATTCTCCCTGTCTCAGGCTTCTCTAGCAGCAGCCATACTCGGTTCAACTTACGGAACCTACCTGGCTCTATCTCCTCCCAATCCCAGCGAACATTCAGCGCCATCAACAGGCGACTCAGTTCGATGGTTATTCTTGACGAGGAAACACACTACAAAGGTCGTCCTAGCCCCTCTTGGGCTTCTATCGTTGCACACTGCTAGCCTAGCTCTCCGCTACCCCAATATCCCTCCATCTCTTGTTCATCATGGAATTGATAACGGGCTCAATCCAGACATGATTACATGGTCTGCTGCAACTGCAATCCCTCTGGCTCTGATTCTCTGTGCCGGTGTTCCTCTGCGTTTGGTACCGTATGCATCACTGGGCAAAAACTTCACATTTGCTCTAAAAGAGCCAGATCGGTTGAAAACCACCGGTATTTATCAATATCTTCAACATCCAAGTTACACTGGACTTGCTATCCTCATGATAGCCAACGTGGCGCTGCTTGGTAGACTGGATGGTGCTCTGAGCTGTTGGATTCCTCCAAGTGTCTATGAGACTTTCTGTTCCTGGGCCATAAGATTCCTTCCTTTCACTATATCAGGTATCACGTTTGGAATATGGACCAGGGTTTCCGAAGAGGAGAAGATGCTCAAGAGGGCTTTTGGAAAAGAATGGGAGAGTTGGCATGCAAAAACAGCTCGCTTTATTCCTTTTATTCTTTAGTTGATTTATGTCCCTCATTAATCAAAGTACCAATAAAATCTACTTTGGCTTCCTAATAAACTTGACCTCAAATTCAAGTATTCGTTTGACGACATCATAACGCAATTATAGTGATACGTAAGGTAGAAACCAGTTTTACAAATATAGCAATGCAGCATATTCCTAAAAATAACAAGATGCCCGTTCAACTGAAAACCGGAAACTAAATAATTGAATAAATCAATACCAAAGTCTTTTTAGTCCAACATTTGCTCCAAAAAACAAGTGTATGTTCTGCAACTCTTCTTCCCAGAGTTCAGCGATGCCATCCACTTCCTCCATCCTACAACCCAGAAGGTCCGCATCCGTTATCTTACTGCAAGGCACTTATCTCAAAATTCATCCTAGAAAGTCCCAGCCTAACCCTCGTCTTTCAGACCGCTTCTTGGAAAGCTCTATGAAGCTGTTGAGTTGCCTGGGCATGATCCCCTCCCATTTCTTTCCGTCCCGGTGACAGTTGTCTGCTGGTTGCCGAAAACACACTATTCCCGTTGCTTCCCTTGACTTTGAGTGATCTCGGTGCTCCTCAAAAGTCTTGAAGGTGATGCAGCAGGTGCTGCACCACGGCTTGCCAAGCTGCATGTTGTTTGAAGGGGAAGTGGAGAAGACTTGAAGATACAAATTTAGGTTGTTCTTCAAAGATGTCTGATGAATTTAGAATCAAAAGGACGGAAAGAAAAAAAGGGAAAGGAATAAGGTCAGTAGTTGTGTACAGTTTCTATAGTACACTTAAGTTGAGTTTGGAATTTCCTGAGAGATTGTAAATAAAGAAGAAATTTCTTAGCCCAGATATGCGATGGATGCCTCTTATAGTCACTCTTGAAGCCTTTCACTTTGGCATGAACGCCTAGGCTTTTCAAAATGGCAACCAAAATCATGCTATGATCCGGCAAAGACAATAAGTCATGAGCATCTTGGTGGCTCGGAACCACATGTGTATCAGGAGCCAACGAGAAGAGCAGAACCGGAAAGTTACCCTTACTTACAGATCTCAAACTGAAGTCAAAAATTGAACGGCCACGATGGTATACCAAGCTGCTCAATCCCTGATAGGTCATTGTTACAAAACGTAAACCTTATGATGTTTAAGGGGCAATATACTGAAGGCAAAGTATGAAATGCTTCAATGGAATAAACTTAGTCGTACCTAACTTTTATAACATATCAATGTTCCCTCAGTGCCTTGAGTACCGCAGTCGCCAACTCTGCATTTTTTGTGAACAATTCCAACTCATGCTCTGGGTAACCAGATTGGATAGCGATCACGGCGTCCAACTTTGGAACTATGTAGATAGACTGGCCATACATACCAATCGCTGCGAACGCGCCATCGTCTCCCATCTTATAGTCTTTGTCCCCCCTGCCTGTCGTCCACCAACCACTTTCGTAGCCAAAGTTGGAGACAAAGTTATCCGGTTGAAGAGCCCTGGCTCCGACACTGTTCTTGGCATCAGATATGTCTTGGAACCAAACGGGTGGCACATTAGGGCCTTTCCCTCCGTCTTTGAAAGTTTCAAGAATAAAACACCCAAACCGTGCCATGTCTGTCAAAGTTATCGAGAGACCTCCGTGTCCATCCACGTGTCCTGCGCCTGTTGTTCGTATATACCCATCGTATTGCATTCCAGCAGGATCCCATATCGTGCGTGAGATGTATTCATTCAGAGGCTCTCCGGTTGCGCGTGAGATCGCTGTCGACAGCACATAATAGTTCGGGTTATAGTAATGAAACTCTTCCCAAGGTTCAGCCACCTTCCTCGAGGTCTTGAGCCAGTTGATAACAGCCTCTGGATCCGTTTGGGGATAAAGCTCAGTGGCATACATGGGATTGGGCACATCGGCGGGTCGCTCTTCTTCTGATTGTTCAACTACCCCTGAAGACATGCTAGATAGAGCAAGAAGTGGCACGTCTGCCCAAGCAGTTCCTTTCAACTCTTCTACATGGTGAGATACGGGGTCGTTGACGGATAGTTTTCCTTCTTGCTGCGCAATGGCGAGAGCTGTTGCAACGAAAGATTTTGTGACTGATTGAACGTCGTTACGAGATGCTTGAGAGTTTCCGTGTCTGTATTCTTCGAGTTTTATGGCTCCATTCTGAACAACAACGCAGCCGGTCAATCCATATCGACGCATGAAATTGTTGAGATCAATCCCGGAGTCTTCCTTGATAGCTTCAGCTATGTTGAAGGAAGTATCTCGAGTAAACCGTCTGAGATAAGAACCATGTCTGACTTGAGTTGTTCGGTTCTGGAAGGTTTCTTCGCGTAGCCGATAGAGGAGCGGAGTGTAAGCTGGGTCAGCCGGGTGAATAGATGATAAGCTGAAGCTTCCGATATGATCACTCAAATGTGGCAAGTCTCCCATCCTGACTGCGTGTCTTGAAACTTCGGTAAGTCTATAATAGAGGAAGCTCGGTATCGTTGATATTGAGATTTTCAGGTTTGGCTATTTTTGAAGTCGGGTCGCATCCGAAGCTACACAACGGAGATGGATACCGGCGTTAATAAGGGGTTCATGAGACCTCCAATCATGATTTATCGTTACCTTTTGTGGTGTCCACCTAGGGTACCTATTATCGGCAGACTCGGCCGAGCCAAACCGGCTTTAACCCTCCGAACTCTGAAGCAGGCATCAAATATTAGGCCTTTGTTATGATAGTACGAAGACTTTGAAATTAGTTTACTATCACATTTCCGGTATGTAATCACTGAGTTCGACTACGTTGCGGTGCATCCAGGGGAATAAACTTATACAGATGTCAAAATATCAGCCTTGCCAAATCACGATGATCACGTCAACAGCATGTGCAATGCTGTGCTAGGGAGAAGTTGTACACGTCAAAGGATCATCAGGATATCTGTAGTTTTACCTGAGCTAACCCCCACTCTTGATTGGGAGGGCGGCATTGATGGGTATATAATCCTCATGTTGGGGTAAGGGAGCGGGCTCACTTCTGCCTCCGACACTATCGATTCATCCTCTGTAAACAACTCATCATGCTAGAAGTCCACTGCTCTGGCACGCCCTATGAGGTAAAGAGATTACATTCTACGAACGGCGTAATACAATCTTGAGGACTAACTTACGATTCAAATACAGATTGGCCATCAACATGGCACAGCTGCAAAAGACAGGGTTGTAGGATCTATCGCCTTTTACAAAGATCTGTTCCAAGAATCATGCGCCATGGACTGGGAGGCAGTACGCCAAGAGGCTCAGCAATACATTCAGCCTCTGCAAACACTATTCCCACGCTATTTCGAGGAGCTTCAAGGTTTAGCGGACGGCGCTGGCTTCGAGCTAGTTGATATCGTCGCTCTCAACGTTCGAACAGAGATCACATTCGGCTTATATACTCGAGTCCCGAGTGCACCTATCCAGACCGATGGCTGTACGAGTGCTGCATATCGTCAGCCAAACGGGGAGGTTCTCCTTGCGCAGAACTGGGACTGGCAGCCTGAACAAGCACCTAATCTGTTCATCTGTCATATCTCCCAGCCTGGGACAGATATACCCGATATCTCCATGGTGACTGAAGGAGGTGTAATTGGCAAGATTGGTATCAACTCCTCTGGTGTAGGCACCTGTCTAAACGCTATCCGAGCTCGGGGTGTTGATAACACCAAAATTCCCATCCATCTCGCCCTGCGAACAGCTTTGGAATCTCATTCGGCGCGCGAAGCAGCCAAGAAGCTGTATGAAGTGGGCACGGCAGGAAGTGGTCATATTCTCGTGTCAGATCCATCTGAAGCTATAGGCTTGGAATGCACCAGCATAGGGATCAAAGAGATCAACTTTGACGGCAACGGAACACTTATTCACACGAACCATCTACTTCTTGACCATCCCGGGGTGGATGAGCCTGGCTGGATACCCGATTCCACGGATCGCATCAAGCGCATCGCCCAGCTTCTTGATGAGAGATTAGACACTTCAACCATCGACCATTCTTCATTCTTTGACTTTTTTAAGGATGAGCAAGGTTATCCAACAGCAATCAACCGTGATCAGTTCTCGCCCGGGAACGGCAAAGCAACACTTTTCAACATTAATATGGACCTGACCAAGAGAAAAGCGATTGTCACTATGGGGAGGCCAACGAATTGGACTGAGAGAATTCAACTATCACCAGGCTTAGCTTAGGCGGAAGAACAAGCCTTGTAATCAAAAGAGAGGAAGTTATTGCTGTTTCCATATTCTTATCTTTCTGAGCATTTAGCCTTATCATGAAAGCAACTCCAATCCTCAACTCTGTAAAACTGTGGCTTTTTATGATCAAGGTTGTGGCTAACTTTAAATGAAACGGCGATGCATTCCTGCTATGGAACATCGAGAGCTTATACGCATAGAGTTTATTGGAAGAACTTCATATCAGAGTACACGAGGTTAGAAAGATACAAAAACAAAATTGGCATCGGAAGACTTTGTGATCAAAATGTCGCCCCCTTACTTCGGATGTTGAGAAGATACAGGGTAACCTGCTTTGGACTGTATTAGACGGTGTGTCATTAATCCGTTCCGCGAGATCTGGCCTTATCATGTATCTGAACACCTAGAAATCATGATGAAAGTTGTCGTTGCATTGCTCGACAACCTCCAGCATCTTCCCTCAAGCCCGCCGCCATGGTAAGTCAGATGGAACAAATACTCAAGCATAAATCCGCTGACTCATAAACGCAGAATATCGCCTACAATTCCGCCTTGCGGCAAAGCAAGTCTCTCCGCGCAGAGCTCTCCAACCTCAACAGCAAACCTCAAGCGTCTCCCTCCGAAATTGGCAACGTGTCCGCCTCAATCGCCTCCTTCACCAAGACCCTCGATGAATATCAAGCTCTCGCCCGTCAGGAGATTGTCCCCAAGAAGCAAGAAGAGGGCTTCGAGCGAGTAAAGAGGTTCCGCGAAGACCTCTCCGACTTTCGAACCCAAGTCGATTCGCTGAAGAAAGTTCGCGATGATGCTCAACACCAGGCAAATCGTACAGAACTTCTTGGCCGAAGACCGTATAATGCTACACCCGAGAACCCTTATGCGAACGCTACAACAACAAACACGCACTCTGCGTTCCAGCCTCGACACCCACCTCAAGCCAGCGCCTTGACAACGGGCTCGCCAGATGAGCAGCGCGAGGCACATGCTTTCAGGGAGCAGAACTTCTTTGCAAACACAAACCAAGCGCTAGATGATTATATTGCACGCGGACAGGCTGTACTGGGCGATCTAGGTCAACAACGGGAGATGCTCAAGAGCACCCAGAAGCGACTCTACAATGTAGCCAACACCCTTGGCGTAAGCGGCGATACGATCCGTATGGTAGAGCGACGGGCAAAAGAGGACAAATGGATCTTCTTTGCGGGCGTCTTGATATTCTTCCTGTTTTGTTGGCTGGTGCTCCATTTCCTGCGGTAGAAAGAACCCGAACTGGGCTTCAAGTATTTGGAAGAGAAATGTCACAGAAATGTACGCTTAGGGGTATCAGCGCGGCGCATGGAGTTTTTGAGTGTCTTGTGTTGTCTTTTTGCCTGTATCATACCACGCTAGGCCAACATGTTCTTTGCCGAAGCACTATTCTATTCGTCATCGCCGTCGCCTTCTTTGAGTGCTACTGTGAACAATACATCCTTGTCCGTCGTCACTGACACGACCTGGGATTCGGGCAGGATGTGGTTGCTAGTGCTCAGCTTGCCACCGATCTCAGTATGCCAGTTCTCGACGTCCCACTCGAAACCCTTTGTCGTGATGTTGGCAGCCTCTTTCAGAGGGATGATACCAACATGCTTGCCAAAGGCATCTTCCTCACCCTCCTCTCGAACTTGGATCTGATGACTACCAGCCTTGAGCAGGAAAGTCAAGCTTGAGCCAGAAAGAAGAAACAGTCGACCGGTCGTATAATCGGGGTCGTTTTGGAAGAGGTACAGGTGGTGAAGCTGAGAAAGACCCTGGTCGACACGGCCTCCAATACCTCCAAGTGCGACGATGTCGATACCTTCGGGGTATTCTTTGCGAATCCAGTTAATAGCCTTTGCAAAGTCGGTCGACTCTTGGTCAGCGTCGTGGATGACTGTCGCAGGGGAGGGTTGCGACGAGTAGAAATCGCGGACTTGTGGGGTGAGGGAATCGAGGTCGCCAATGATGAGTTGAAGGTTAGACTATAGGATTAGCAACCATTTAATATTATTATCCACGAGCAGTATCGTAACGTACGTATTTTCCGTGGAAAGACGACAGCTTGTGTAGACGATTCGCTCCACCATCAGCAGCTACTCTCACAGAAGCTGTGAAATGGACGTTAGGTACTGAGACCGCAAGAGCAGCATGTCAAGCTACGTACAGTTCTTCCAGAGCTTGCGCAAATTGACGCCGTTCTTCAACGGCTGGTTTAGAATGAGCAGCGCAAAGTCCTGGCCTATGTTATAGTCCTGGAGCAGCTTTGCCGGCCGCCATTCGAAAGATTTGGACGCCATGATTGAGGATATCTTTGGTTAGTATGCGACTTGCAATGAGTAGAAGAAGATGAAGTAGATGCGATCTAAATCGTCGTGTCCCTTGCGTGATATTCGCAAGTTGTCAAGTCAAGAATGGTTTTGCTTTTTCCTCTCCCTGAGAAATGGCGAGACAATGTCTAGCTCGAGAACTTCCCCTCGATTCCTGTGCGACAGCTTTCTCCCTTTCTCTCCTTTGTCTTCTGCTGATCGCTTGAACCAACGTGTTTGACAAAACAAACTTTGGTCTACTGTAACAGCCACAATCTAGGTCGAAAGTCAAAAAGAGATCTAGACGCAGCCTGCACGTTAAGCCTTATGAGGGTATAGAAGCAGCTCATATGAGCAGGAATGAATGTACACTACCTAGATCCAATAAGCCGATGGTGGGGGAACGTCATGGCGCGATAAGGCTGTTATCAGATAAAGAGCACGGACGGTTAAATTACGGTTACACTTTTTTCACGCAACCGGCCGGCGTCTCGGAGACCAGGGCCAAGTATTTCCAAGCATCATACCTACTCCAAGATTTCGATGCTCCACCACTGCTGACCAATTCCTCTTGTATTCTTGATTTCCTGCATTGACCTTCGTTCCTTTGTTAACTACTGTAATTCAAAATGTATCGTACCACTATGCGATCGGCCTCGAGGCCTGTAATTACCAGCCTGCGCTCGAACACGATCCGCGCAGCCCCTCGACGATTCAACTCGACAGCTACTCCCGCCGACAAGTCCCGATCATGGAAGAGCTCTGTGGCACGATTGGGTCTGGCCTTCGGTGCTGTCTATTACTACAACACAAGTCCCATCTTTGCTGATGAGGCTATCTGTGCGTTGCAATTGATACTCAGAATTCGAGATTATGCGACTAATATCGAACAGCAAAAACGGTTCCCGCACCTGCTGCCTTCTCCGACGATGACCTCCCCACTGTCGACTCCGTCCTCGAGGAGAAGCGCAAACAGATCAAGGCCAAGAGCGAGAAGCCCGCCGAGTCATCAAAGCCCTCCGAGCCTCAACAGTCCAATACTCAAGCCGCCGCCGCCGATGGATCGCCTGCTGCCTTAGAAGAGGAGGCCGACCAGCAAGGCGCTTTCAACCCCGAGACTGGAGAGATCAACTGGGACTGCCCTTGCTTGGGTGGTATGGCCCACGGCCCCTGCGGTGAGGAGTTCAAGACTGCGTTCAGCTGCTTTGTGTACTCGACCGAGGAGCCCAAGGGTATGGACTGTATCGAGAAGTTCCAGTACGTCACATCGAACAATGGTCTTGTTTCATAGCTTGCTAATTCAGGAATAGGGGCATGCAAGAGTGCTTCAAGAAATACCCAGAAATCTATGGCGCTGAGCTCGCCGATGACGAGGAGGGTGCTCCCACTCCCGATTTTGGCGATGAGCAGCCCACCCCCGACGCTCTCAAGGCTCCTGCTACCGACTTCGAGTCCCTACCCGAAGATTCCTCTGCCACAGCCGAGCCCGATTCACAAGCCCCTCCCCGAGCAACTTCCAGCGAAGCTGAGAAGAATACCCTTGTTAACGGATCCCGAAAGGTTCAGGATGTCGCTACCCCCATAGAGAAGCCACACAACCCAGAACTGTGGCAGGATATGCACAAGTCCGAGGTCCCCGTAAAGGAGGTTTTCGTTGAGCCTTCACAAGCGCATGATGCTACTGCTGCCAATGCTGAGATCAAGATTATTGAGCAGGAGAGGGAAGCCAAGAAGAAGGCTGAGAAGACGCAGTAACAAGGTGTAAAATATTGGCGCTGTTAGGGCGAAGGACTACATTTTGTAAAATATTTAGGATCTTGATACGGGCGAGGTTGTCCATGTGTACCAATGCTGTATGATGAGAAGGGACAGAACCACGAAATTAATACACGATCACACCTCAATGTTTTAGTGTTTCGAATCTTTAAGCGATCCTTGTGAAGTTTGATTTGAGAACGGTTTTGTTGAACATAGGTATCAATTCTTATGCCTCCAAACGTAAGAGATGAGTAGTAGCCTGGTATCAGCCAGAGTAGAGAATCATGGAACAAAATAAAAATGCAGTAAAACAAAAAACTATATCATATCATCCGTCAACAACATTCGTTCGTTCCTTTCAGCGTTCGACAATTACAAAGCAAGGATATGCTTGTTTAGATGCTTTAGGCCTCAAGAAGACCGTTTGGCACATCGGCCTTTGCGTCGTTGTAGGGTATCATCGCCGCTCGACTCCTAGTTGCCGCCCTTCTTGCCCTTGTACAGATATCGTCCAACAGCACCCTCGGCAGCTGTCACACCAGCGAGGATACCAGCGCCGAGAGTGACGGCCTTCCAGTCAAGCTTGCCCTTCTCATAGAGACCCCAGCCCTTGTAGCCAAGGAATGCGCTGAGACCGACAACGGTAGCGAAATTGGCAATGACAAGGCCAGTAGCACTTCCGTCCGACAGGCGAGAGAATTGTTGGATGAGCCAGTTGTCGGCCTTCTTGGCCTTGGCAGCAGCCTCGTCACGCTTTCGCTTCTCCTGGCGGGCCTCCTCTTCTCGCTCTATGCGAGCAGCTTGGGTCTCTGTCTTGATCTCCTGCTCAAGGAAGTCGTTGGGGACAGTGTGCACGCTAGGCATATCAACATCGACCAAAGAGGCGGTGGAGGCGGACTCGTCAGTGATGACCTGAGGAGGTTGAGGGGCAGCAGCCTGGAGGGGTTAGCAAGAGTGATCGCAGAGATATGATGCGGTATGGAAAGTAAATCACCTCCTCAGGGCTCTGCTTGGGGCCACTGGCAGCAACGTCGGCGTAAGACACTGCGATAGAGTCAGTGATCTGATGTTGGGCACAAATACGCTACAGTGACGTGTATACTTACTGATGGTAAGGCGGGGTAGAGAGGGGAATAAGAGAGTAGACTCGAGTTGCTGGGGATTTATTATCCTGTTGGGTTTGTCGCAAAGGGCAAATTTGACGGAGAGAAACCAAGAGTATCGTGACCGAGGAAAAGATGGAGGAGAGAAGATGGCTCTTCATGTGACGCAGATCATTGAAGCCCGCACCTTTTGAACCTGAGCTTCCGCAATTCGCCGATGACGTATGCGGCTCGAGACCCACTTGGACGCTCTCCTCCTTCAACAAGGAAGCAGGATTTCCCTTGGCTCGGAAGAAATTGGACTCAGGAACAGGACCTGGGGGAGCGAATCAGAAGAGCCAATTCTTTGCTGATGCTGATCAAGTTTCAGTGACAATCGTTTAATTGATGACTTGCTTATTCCCTAGAATCCCTACCATCCCTTCCAAGGAATCCATGTGTCCCTCACCATGCCCTGCTCATCAACAACATAATACACGTAAAACGCAGCCGCAGCTATACAAGCGTGATTGCACCACAGCTGGACCTTTTGTCCGACCTTGAAGTCCTCATCAACCTTTCGTCCCTCGCTCGTCCCCAGGATCCCATGCTCCTGCGACAATCGGACCACACCCCACGCCGGACTGCCCACCACTCGGCCGAATCCGCTAAAGGCGCTGGCCTCACGCGACAGCGCGATTACACCTGCGTTGACGAGCGCTTCGTTCCTCTCCGGGTACACACTACATACTTCAGCGGCTACAGACACAGATTGTTGCGTCTCGGTCACAAGACCAGTTGACACTTGCTGGAGATCGTTGCAGGGGAAGTTGCCTGCGTGGAGCTCCAGCTTGATGTTCTCTGGCATTGATACCTTGAGGCTTTCGACGACATGCGCTGTTGGTGTACTGCCGACGGAGATGACAAGTTGGTGATCAGAGGGTAGAAGCTTAGCTGCGGCTAAGACGCTCGAAACCTCTATGTTGAGCGTTTTCTCGGCCTCGTCTCGCGATCGACCTCCATATGAATGACCCGCGTGACAGTAGAATCCGTAGATACTAATAGCAGACGACTTCTGTGCGCGTTCTACTAAACGGTTCAGTGCAGCGCTGTTAGCTTCAACGCCTGCTCGGCGCGACCCAACATCAAGCTTGATAAAAACATCCCAGGGCTGCTTGCTTGAAGGTGACTCTTCGAGAAACTCGACCTGTTGCTCATTGTCGACCATGAGCATGATACGTAGCGATTTTCGCAACTCAACCAACCTAGGCAGGATACCAGGATAGACAGGAAGCCCGTACAGACACTACGCAATATTCAGTACTTCTCATCTTCATAAATCTCTGGTGAATCTTACCGATTCCAAGATACCCTCCTTCACCAGGGGTAAAGCACCTTGGATCTCAGGGATGGTGGAGGCAATGATTCCTCTGTATTTCCCATCCGCCATCATTAACTGTGTCACCTCAAGAGACTTTATAACACAGAGTTAGCTCATATATCTCGAACTGTATATGTACAACATACCTTCAATGTCTTGACATGAGGTCTGAAGCCAATGCCGAGCTTCTCAACATCGCGATGTAAGGTCTCAACATTCGTCTTGAGAACAGGCAGATTGACAACCAGCGACGGTGTAGGAAGCTCTGAGACGTGCTTTCCGATATAGGCTTTATGATTCTCCAGTGAATAATCCATCTTGAAGAGCTGTCTGGGTTGCTTTGGCTGTATGATCGAAGTGTTCAACGTGGGACAAATCGAGTAATGCAGGGAGCGATATCGAGCTCACTGAGAAGCGTCTCTGCTCGACCCTATACTTCTTCTGCTTCAGCTGAATCACGGACCTGAGGTATTATTTCACTGATGAGCGGTATTTACAGTGATGGCGACCTTACAATTTGAGTATAGATAGATAGTAAAGATGGTCTCCGCGGCGGGCTCATGTTCTAGCGCCGATAGTTTCCCGCGGCCAATTACTAACAATAATTGACGATATGCCTCAGCATCATCATGAAGCTTCACCTACAAACCCAAAGACCTCAAAATTCTGCATCCTATGGTCTAATTTATTCTCCTTGTATCAATCTACTTCACAGATCCACCAGGATTCCGAAAATCATGCCTTATCTGATTCATAAACGTATCTTACAACACCATCTGGCCCATCAAAGTGGAGCCCTGCGATCATCAAGAATGAGGCATCAGGGAGCAAGAAAGCATTGGACAGTAGATCAAGATGTCAAAGACGAAATCATAGTAACAAGATCTTCTAAATTTATCTTGCAATCTACTAAATTTTATATCATACCTACATCTTGTGCTATTCAGGATAGCAGTTACAAGTTTTGCCCCTCCTGGAGAGGTTCAGATCACCAATATCTCAGCTTTCCTAGAATGTGGTAGTTTAGAGAACCATGCGTCTTCGAATGGGCATGAAGGCGTAAGTGATATACTCGTGGCGCTTGTTGATATGCCGAAAGCCTGGAGAGTATTGCAATGGTCATGCTCAAGACTTAGACCTAGGCTAGGTATCGTCTGCGTCACTCGGGCCTAGCTCCAATGCAGTAACAGGTCACGTTGGTTGAAGCATCATCAAGACGCATAGAAACTATCGTCAACCTAAATCAGGCTGAAGAATTGGTTTGACGTAAAGGTAAGATAGTGGTTCGATGAGTTTGTTACACCGCCTGCGTCGACCCAGCACGGTCAATACCATGCATGACTTGAAGCTTGCCCAACACTCTAGAATTTCCAGGGTCAACACCCTGTACTCATAGTTCTGCTCAATAGTTCAAGCTTCTAAAAGAACTTCAGCTCCGATACTTATCCAACCTATTGAGTCATCCCGTAGTCGGAGTCGGAGAAGAGTCCCGTCTTGCAACCAGCCGTTAACTGACACAACTTATACCGGAAATAATATAGTCAATCTCCATTAGCGAGTCTCCAGATCGATTTCTTCGGCCAATCGTAAGGCAAGTTATACTACAAACTGGTGGTTGATTTGCTGCAGAGCACACCCTCAACGCCTGGTGCCGACTCGGCACCGAAAGATGTGGATTCCAGCACTTGCGATCCAAACAGAATCGAATTCTAGCATTTTACCCTTGCTTCTCAAATCGTTATTTATTTCATCTTGATCTCATTGATTCTTAGTTCTTTTATTAATCAAAATGACATTGCTTTGTCTCTTCAGTAAAACTTCAAGAGTTATTGCAAGATGAGTGCACCGAAGCAAGACGACGACCATATTGGCGATAGCGAGAGTACTCACACTCGCGTATCAGACCAAGATCCCGAAAAACAATCCAATACGGAAATTGAAACCCCAGATGCTCCTTATTCAAGCTTCTCACTATGGCAGAAGCGGCTCATCGTTCTGGCTGCCGCTTCAACAGCCCTCTTTTCACCAATGACAGCCCAGATATACTTCCCTGCCCTGCCAGCTATAGCCAACGACTTGGGCGTGACCACATCCCAGATCAACCTTACTGTCACGACTTACATGATCTTCCAGGGTATAACACCCATGTTCATTGGCTCACTAGCTGACAGTGGTGGACGAAGACCTGCATACCTGGTATGCTTTACCATTTACATAGCAGCCAACATTGGTCTCGCCCTGGCTCCTAGCTATGGTGCTCTTCTGGGTCTTCGTTGTCTTCAATCCGCTGGCTCTGCTAGCACGGTTGCGCTATGCTTCGCTGTTGTGGCTGATGTTGTCACCTCAGCCGAAAGAGGTCAGTACATCGGTCTGACAGCTGTTCCATCTGTGCTGGGTCCATCACTAGGTCCAATTATAGGTGGCGTCCTTGCCGAATTCCTAGGTTGGAGGTCGATCTTTTGGTTTCTTGCCATCTTCGCCGGTGTAGCCATCGTTCTTCTCGCTTTGTTCTACCCAGAAACATGCCGGGAGAT